TCTCAGCTGGTGATAGTGCACTTTCGTACAACCACGGTGAGCCACTGGCAGTATCTACTGAAGCTAAAAGTAAGGGTCTCCTAAGATCAGCACTTTCCCTCCCACAAATACAACAGAAATGGCCACACATGTTCATATTAAGTAGTACTTTTCATAATACCCCACACTGGAAACAACCCAAATGTCCAATGGCAGTGGAGTCAGTAAATATGGTCCCATGAGGTGCCAAAATGGCAGGAATGGTCTGCCAAGAGGGAGGAGTGTTCAGCACTGACATCGTTTGGACGTGATGAAAAGCACCTGACCTTAAGGGGGCTCCATTGTATTTCACTTCCCTACCAACAGTACAGCTGATCGTCCTACCTCTGCCCATGAGCTTTTGTGGTATATTTATAAAAAGGCATCTGAGGGAGGGAGGGGTCTTTTTTGTTTGTTTTTGAGAGTCTTGCACCCAGGCTAGAGTGCAGCATTGTGATGATAACTCACAGCAGCTTCTAACTCCTGGGCCCAAGAGATCTAGAGATCCAGCTCAGCCTGCACTGCCACACCCACCTAATAAACAAATTCAAATAATCCAGACAGATGAATCTCGGTAGTGACAAGGTGAGTAACAAAAAAGCCTGATGTTCACAGCACCCATGGCTCAGTGGGTAAGGTACTGGCCACATACCCTGAGGCTGGCGGGTTCAAGCCCGGCCCCCAACCAGCTAAAGCAACAATGACAAATGCAACAAAAATATAGCTGGGTGTTGTGGTGGGCACCTGTAGTCCCAGCTACTTGGGAGGCTGAGGTAAGCGAATCGCTTAAGCCCAAGAGTTTGAGGTTGCTGTGAACTGTGACGCTATGGCACTCTACCCAGGGTGACATGATGAAACTGTCTGGCTCGGCGCCTGTGGCTCAAGTGGCTAAGGCGCCAGCCACATACACCTAAGGTGGAGGGTTTGAATCCAGCCTGGGCCCACCAAACAACAATGATGGCTGCAACCAAAAAAAAAAAATAGCTGGGTGTTGTGGCAGGTGCCTGTGGTCCCAGATACTTGGGAGGCTGAGGCAGGAGACTGGCTTGAGCCCAGGAGTTGGAGGTTGCTGTGAGCTTTGATGTCACAGCACTCTACCCAGGGGGACAGCTTGAGGCTCGGTCTCAAATAAAGTAAAATAAAATAAAAATGAGACTCAGTCTACAACAACAACAGAAAAAAGAAGGGCAGCCCCATGGCTCATTGGATAGGGCGCCAGCCCCATATACCGAGGTGGCGGGTTCAAACCTGGCCTGGCCAAACTGCAACAAAAAAAATAGCCTGGTGGTGTGGTGGGCGCCTATAGTCCCAGCTACTCGGGAGGCTGAGGCAAAAGAATCACCTGAGCCCAGGAGTTGGAGGTTGCTGTGAGCTGTGTGATGCCACAGCACTCTATGGAGGGCAACACAAGAAGAAAAAGAAAAAACAAAAAAAGAAAAAGAAAAAAGCCTGCTGTAAAAGAGCACACTGATTCCATTGATGTGGAATTTGCCGAGCAAAATAAAGGATGCGCAGAGATCTGTGTGTGGTACGGCATTATTCCTGGGTTTTAAAAGAACTGCACTGAATAATGAAACAATTCCATTAGAAACACAGGATCTAAAAAGTTATAGGATAAATAAATGTTCACTGGTCTGGCTGTACTAGTTTTTTTTTTTTTTTTTTTGAGACTACAGACGCACACCACAATGCCCAGCTATTTTGTTGTTGTTGTTGTTGCAGTTGTCATTGTTTAGCAGGCCTGGGCGGGGTTCAAACCCATCTGCCTGGGTGTATGTGGCCGTGTCCTGCCTACTGTAGTTCCTTTTTTAATACACACGTCCCTGAAAAGGCATATTGGTATATTTGTATAATCTTTACATTATAATAACAAAAAACTGTAGGGTGCTTACTTCAGCAGTATATACACTATAATTAGAACCATACAGAGATTAGCATGGCCCCTGTGCAAGGGTAACACAAATTCAAGAATTGTTCCACATTTTTTACTACTCAGACATAAAGAGAAATGAATTCATGTCTTTTGTAGCAATTTGGATAGAACTGGAGACTATTATCCTAAATGAAGTATCTCAAGAATGGAAAAACAGGCTCAGCGCCTGTGGCTCAAGTGGCTAAGGTGCCAGCCACATACACCTAAGGTGGCAGATTTGAATCCAGCCCGGGGCCCGCCAAACAACAATGACGGCTGCAACCAAAAAAAAGCCAGGCATTGTGGTGTGCGCCTGTGGTCCCAGCTACTTGGGAGGCTGAGGCAGGAGACTCGCTTGAGCCCAGGAGTTGGAGGTTGCTGTGAGCTGTGGTGCCACGGCACTCT